TAGAATAGAATAGAATAGAATAGAATAGAATAGAATAGAATAGAATAACAGACTCGGAAGGGACTTTGGAGGTCTTCTAGTCCAACCCCCTGCTTTGGCAGGAAAGTAATTTTATATATCAATTTAATAAAATAGAAAACAAACCCTTTTCCGAAGCCCAACCTGCCGGTGGCCCCCCTCGCTCACTACCTGGGCGTCCCGGCGGTGGACGATCCAATTTACCCGCCCCGTAGAAGAGAAACCCGAGTCACTCACGTCCTGACCCGACCCAGAGTCGTGGGAACCGCCGGCCCTACCTGGATGGTCTTCATGAGACTTTCCACTTTCCGCTCGTCCAGCACCGGCGGGATGGGCCTGATGATGACCCGCAGGGGCACGTCGTGGACCTCGGAGACGTTGTCGGAATGGATGCTCCTCCCGCCGCCTTCGCTTTGCATGGCGAGCCAGCTCCGCCGCGGCCCGCGATCACCGCTTGGTGCCCTTTCCCACCACCTCCACGCCACTCGCGCCGCTCCTCGCATCCAGCACCGCCTATTATAGAGGCACCTGGGGAAAAAGCGTGAGCGGAACGTACCACTCCAGGTGACCTGGGGGGGGGGGAGTCGAGACTGATGACCTTCCCCCCTTTTCTCGAGCGTTTCCCCAGCGCCTTCCGAGGACCCCGTTTCCGATGCGAGGACCCCCCACCCGGATCGAGCCCGGAGCGCCGCGGATGGAGCCGGTGGGTTGGAAGGGGACGTCTGCACGCGCGGAACAAGCTGGTTGCCCCCTCCTCCACCCCACCCCCCCGCTCCCCAGCTCGGCCTCCGAATGGAAGGAGCCGTTGGCGTGTCACAGGCGCACGTGTGCAACGCCTTTCCTGGGCCGGGCTTCCCGGAGCTTGTTTTGCTGAGTCAGGCAGAGGCAGCGGAAAAGGCGCTGGGGAGGGAGCGCTTATGTCGTTCTAGTAGGTTGTTATAAACTGCCAAGTCACTTAGATGATGAGAAAGAGGGGGAGTGAAAGAAGAGGAAGAGAAAGAAAACATGAGAGAAAGAAAAGAGAAAAAGAGAAAGAAAAAGGAAAGAGAGAAAGAGAGAGACAAAGAAAAGAGAAAAAGAAGGAAAAGGAAAGAGTGTGAGAGAGAGACAAAGAAGAGAGAAAGAGAGAGAAAGAAAAGAAAGAAAAAGGAGAAAAGAGAAAGAAAGAAAGGAAAAGGAAAAAGAGAGGGAAAAGAGAAAGAAAGAGAAAGTGAAAGAAAGGAGAGAAAGAAAAGAGAGAAAGAAAGAAAAAAGAAAAGAGAGAGAGACAAAGAAAAGAGAAAGAAAGAAGGAAAAGGAAAGAGTG